CAGGTCGAGGTGCTCCAGCGTTGACTTGTATCTATGCTCGAGACGATCGCTTTTGGAGGCTCCCACCGAGGCCAGGACATCCTTAAGCGTGGGCAGCACTTCCTTAGCTCCTCCTACATAGCTCAGCTTAACCAATTCTGCTGCGCGTTGGGCCAGGGCGTTGGAGTTGGCCACAATCAGACCGACGGGCTGGTCATAAAACTTGATCTCGCCAGTGGCGAAAATCTCCTCGTCTTGGGCAAAAAACATGGGCTCGCGTGTCTTGGGGCCAATGTAGTTTGGTCCCGGTATGTCCTTGGCATCTAGATATGCCACCACTCCGGGCAGAGCCAGGGCAGGCTGAGGGTCCACCTTAGTGACCTTTGCACCCACTTTTTTAGCGTGCACAAAAGCGGCCCACAATTGATTGCTTTGAGTGGGTAGATCGTTGGCGAAGGTGGCTTCGCCGGAGCACTGGATGAGGCCCTCGTGCTTCTCCGTGGCCTTGGTCACCGGATAGTGCTCCTCGAATGTCTCGAAGCTCTGCTTTCCACTGGACACCGGCCGCTGCAGCAAGGAACCGCCCAGGGCGAAGCGACTGCCCACTCCCTGCTTCCGCTCGGCGGCTGTCTTCAGCAGGAACTTGTAGAAGAGTCCGCAGGCCAGCTTGCGGCGGTACACGGGCGAGGCGTCGGGCAGCACCTCATCGGGCTGCAGGAGAGTCGACAGCTGGCCAAAGGCCTTCTCCACCAGTCCATTCTCATAGGGACTGCGTCCCAGCAGCAGCTTCTCAATGGCCGTGGCATGGACGAACTCCGGGTTGATGCCGCCGAAGCAAATCCTCGCATTCTTCACCTTCGAAGCGTTGTCCAACTCGAGGAGGAACGCGGCATTGACATAGGCATGGGCGTTCTGGGCACGGGGCATGATCTGAGGGTGGGGAAAGAGATGAGTTCCAAAGCCTCCTCGATAGAAGATTCCCTGACGGATCTCACCTTGTAGGAGTCGAACAGGAAGCGATCCTTGGGATAGGCAGGCAGCACGAACCCTCTTATGATCTTGCCCTCCATCGGCGTCTTCAGATAGCTGGCGAGGCTCACAGTCGCCTGCCTCACCACCGACTCCTGGAGAATCACCTGTGCGTCCAGGGCCTCGAGGACGATGAACACGTCGGAGGGGAACTCCGGGTGGGCATGCTTGATGGCCAGATTGCCCGCCAAGGTGCCGGCCTGGGTTAATGCAAAAGAAATTGATAAGAGCGTCGAATGATGCGATAAGTCGAGTAGGTGGAGAGCCAGCTGACGCGCTATCAGGCAGATAACAAGACACTTGTCGACTTACATTGCGCACGGGAACGTTGGCGATCCAATCGAGGTGTTGCCACACCTGGGCCAGGTACTCGAAGCCTCTGGTCTGCTCCAGCTGGCGGCAGATGTCCATCGTCTCTGTGAGGCTCAGGTTGCCGCCAAGAGTAAGGGAGCCGGAGCCGGAGCCAGTGGACAGCTTGTGTCCCTTGAGCTCTGCCAAGCCACCGACATCGATGAATGCCTTGATGTCCGCCCTGCGCCTGTACACCCCGTGGGCCGTGTTGCCGGCCACCAGCATGACGGGCAGCTTCTCTTTGAGAGCGCTCTGCAGGGCGTCAAAGAGCTGGCCGAGGCTCTCCGGCCAGCTCCAGCGGCTGCCGTCCAGGTAGACTTGACTCCCCTTGGGGGTCTGCTTCTTGCAGGTGCCGGCGCACCGTTGGCCCGTCTTGGGGCACTGCTTGGTGCTCAGATCCTCGATGTCCGCGCACTCCGCGGGCACCGCGATGTTGCTGTCCACCGCAAAGGACTTCATGGCATCCAGAATGGGGCGGTAGCCGGTGCAGCGACAGATGTTGCCCCCGAAGGAGTTCTCCACCTCCGCCATGGTCACGCGACCCCCCTTCGACTTGAGCAGCCCGTACATGTTCATGACGATGCCCGGCGAGCAGTAGCCGCACTGGGTGCCGTTCATCTTGGCCAGCCGCTCCTGGATGGCATGGTAGCCCACCCGCTTGTTGCCCAGCCCCTCCGCGGTGGTCACCTCCAGTCCCAGGCAGGTGTTCAGCAGCGTGAGGCACGAGTTTACGGCCCAGGTGCGCACCTCACCCGCTTCCGGATGGATGCCGGTCAGCGTGCACACGCAGACGCCGCATCCCCCCTCCTGGCACATGAACTTCGTCCCCGTCAGACCCGCATTCTCCCGGATGAAGGTGTTCAGCGAGATGTCCGCAGGCAGTGCAGCCAGATTCACTGCAGGCGAGAGAAAATATTGCATCAGATTTAATTTATCTAATCTGCATTTACATTAACCACTTCAAGAAGCCAAAAATGTATGAAACTATTGCCAAATTCAAACGAATATTACCCAATTTGATAATAACTTTTCCATGAATACTTCATAGGAAATAATTCCAAATAATACATGGAAAAGGGTTCACTCAATCACACTCCAAGTGGATTTTGAAGTGATGTGAGACTTACACCGTGATTATAAGAACCCTTGGGCTCAGCATTTTTGCATGCACAAACCATGTGAATAGATTAAAGATATATACTGAATTAATTGGCAGAATCTGTCACTATATCACTATCTTATTATTCAACTAATTAATTCGTTATTGGATAGACACGTCATGTTATACATTGCCAAAGCTCTCTACAGAGTGTAAGCAATTAATCTATCAATAAACTGCTCACATTCTCTCACCTTCATAGCTGGTGCCGTTGATCGTAATGCTGCCAGCCATTATCTTTGTTTTATATAAACCCTTGAAAGGCGCGTCGAGTGTTATTTTGAAATCAATTGAAGTCTTTCCTCGAATTCAAATGTCGTTTGCGGTTTTTGGAGAAAGTTTCGTTCCGTTGTGCACGCTAATCTCCGATCAACTGTAGGTTAGGTCTGTACGCATCAAGCTTTTATGGCCGAGCCCCGGCGCGGCGGCAGCCCAAAATGTTCTCACGAGCTCTCAAGTTCTAGCTGCTGCTCCCGCTCCCGCTCCGGCGCTGGCTCCTAACTACTATTCGATTGAGCGGAGTGCTCTCGTGGTGGTCTCTCTAAATGTACGTACATATGTGTGTGAATCGTTATCGCAAAATTTGTTAGCCACTCTCCGTCATTCTCTGGGTATGCCACTCTCCGTATTGCCCCTCTCTCCTCTCCAGGCATATTTATCAGCATTATCAGCTGTTTGTTTCGCGCTTTCTGTTTTGCTCGGGCTTCTAAACAAAATGCGGAGTGCGTAGTTCTTTTCGTTCTTAAGTGCTGGAAAGAATCGAAAGCTTTAGATTTGCAATATTTCGCATTTCAAGGAATCGAACACGCTCCAGGTACGTATGCATATCCCTCCCCGCATATACGACTACAACGCTCTGTCACTGTGTGCTTGAATTATGTTTTCAATGAGCTTCTTTACTATTTAATTTATTTGAATTAAAATGTTGGATGCTGACTCACTCAAAAGACGATTTTGTATCTGTTAGATAATTTTGTATCTGTAAGATAAGATACTTCTAAGCCTGTAAGATATTATTTTGACTATTAGATACTTTTGTATTTGTAAAATACTATTGTATCTGTGAGACTCTTTTATTGAGACCCAAAAGATTATTTTGTATCTGAGAGATGTATCTTTATGATATCATTGTATCTGTAAGATTAATTTTATAAAAATACACATCCAAAAAATAGTTTTGTATCTGTGAGATACTTTTTTATGTGTAATATATTTTTATAGAGACATATACGTTGTTATCTGTGAGATACTTTTGTATCTGTGAGATACTTTTGTATCTGTTAGATACTTTGTATCTCATAGAGAATTTTTAATCTGTAAGATGCTTTCGTAGCTGTGAGATACTTTTATAGAGATACGCACCCATAAGATACTTTTGTATCTGTGAGATATTTTTGTATGTGTAATATATTTTTATAGAGATATATACGTTGTTATCTGTGAGATACTTTTGTATCTGTTATATACTTTGTATCTCTTACATAATTTTTAATCTGTAAGATGCTGCTGTAGCTGTGAGATACTTTTATAGAGATACACGCCCATAAGATACTTTTTTATAGAGACAGACATCCAAAATATACGTTGTTGTCTGTGAGATACTTTTGTATCTCTTACATAATTTTTAATCTGTAAGATGCTGCTGTAGCTGTGAGATACTTTTATAGAGATACACGCCCATAAGATACTTTTTTATAGAGACAGACATCCAAAATATACGTTGTTGTCTGTGAGATACTTTTGTATCTGTTAGATACTTTGTATCTCTTACATAATTTTTAATCTGTAAGATGCTGCTGTAGCTGTGAGATATTTTTATAGAGATACGCACCCATAAGATACTTTTGTATCTGTGAGATACTTTTTTATGTGTAAGATATTTTTATAGAGACACATCCAAAATATACTTTTGTATCTGTTAGATACTTTGTATCTCTTACATAATTTTTAATCTGTATGATGAAGTTGTAGCTGTGAGATACTTCTATAGAGATACGCACCCATGTACACATCTATTCCATATTTGAAATATCTTCTTTATGAAGTACTAGCAGACCCGCGCGCTTTGCTGCTTACTAAATGCAATTAATGTTTTGGAATTCATCGAAATCAAACAATGATAATCAAAAGCAACAAATATACTTACACAAATAGGCAATTTTTCAGAAAACAGGCAACAGGCGTTGCGGAGCCGCTTACACACCGATTTTTTTCTACATATTTATAGTATAGAAGAAGATGTATCTTCTATCACAAGTATCTTCCATCAGAAGATAACTTACTTGGTTCTTGGTCCTTGGGCGCGGTGATGAGTTCGAGGCGGTGAGTGTATCCGGTCGGAGCTGTCGCTGATGTTGAGGTGTTAAGCATTTAAAAAAGACTCAAGGAAAATGTAAATTCTATGGAGGGTGGAGTCGCCACTTGGCCACTCGACCACTCCATGCCATTCCCTTGTTGTCTCAGGCAATGAATGTCATTGGGATTAAGCGCTGGATAAGTTTTTAATTTATTGTGCACACAATACAAGGTCTGCTCCTCTAGGTTAAGTGGGGGTTAGGTATATGTATAGGGGGGGGCTATCTTGGTGTGCTTATCGAAGCGTTCCCATCGGCCACGTGCCGTGTCTCAAGCTCTGTCCACTGCCGAGGAAGAGATCTCCTGGCTCTACTTCTCCTCTTCCCTAGCCAGTCAGTTCAGCTTGAACTGGCTGGGGTCTGTGCCGGCATGCAGGACCAGGAACTCGGGTGTCATCGGGGCAGTGAGGGTGACCCATGCCTTGGGCACGCCGGCATCATCGCGGGCGGACTGCAGGGCTTGCTGCAGGGCAAAGGCCACAGCGATAGATAGACAGATCGCGGGTTCACCGGTAGCTGAAAAACGAGAACTTTAAGTCACTTGGATTCAAGACGGAACATTCGCTTGTAAGCTTACCCTTTGACCTCATAAAGCCCGCCTTGTTGGGGCTCTTGGGTAGCAGCTCAATGCGCAGATCCACGGGAATGTCCTTGGCGCCCGGTGGCTTGTAGGTCCAGGTGCGGTTCGTGAGGCACTCGCCGGTCTGCTTGTCCACCACAATCTGTTCGCTGGTCCAGTAGCCGAGGCCCATCATGAAGGCGCCCTCGATCTGTCCGATATCCACATTGGGATTCAGACTCTCACCCGTGTCTTCCAGTAGATCCACGCGGTTGACCAGATAGTTGCCCGTGAGCACATCCAACTCCACCTCCGTGAGGCAGAGGCCGCATACCGAGTACGGATCCATGTCGCCCTGTTTGCACTGGTCGCTGGCAATGAGGTTGATCTTCCGGTTGTATGCCTCGTTGATCAGCTGCTGCCAGTCGGAGGGCTTCACCTCCTCCTTGACAGGCTCCAGGCGGGAGTTCAGCGTCTCGCAAGCCTTGCGCACGGCATAGCAGAGGGTCTCGCTGCCCACGGCGCCTCCGGTGACCATTGAGTTGGCTCCATTGATCGTATCGCTGGCTTCAATGCGCACCTGTTGCATGGGAATGCCCAGCGAGTGTGCCACCACCTGGGATATCTTGGTGTTCATGCCTGGAGTGGATAATTCTTTAGTTGAGGAACAGTTTCAGGGCTATCCAACACTCACCTTGTCCCATTTCGATGCCTCCGTGGGAGACCACGACAGTGCCATCGCTGTGATAGATGGCTACCGTCGCTGGGTACTGTCCAAAGTATCCGATTTGGTATTCCATTATAGACAGACCCAAGCCGCGCTTGCGCCAGCGGTTCTCCTTGTTGTAGGCAATAATCTCCGAGCGCCGATCCTTGTAAAGGGTGTTGGCTAGGAACCCAGGCATCATTTCGCCTATTTTATGGGCGGGCAAAATGTTGGCGTAGCGCACATCCGCCGGATCCTGCCCCGTTTCAAAGGCAATGTGCTCGATGATGTTCTCTATCATGGCGATGCCCTCCACAGACCCAGGAGCCCGACAGGGGGTGTTGCTGGGGGAGTCCGTGTAGACGAGGAAGCCATCTAACTTGAAGTTATCGCTGAACTCGTAGCAGTTCTTGGACAGCAACACCACGTGACCGATGGGAGACTCGTTGGACAGGTAGCCTGCGTCCTCGAAGAAGCGACTGACAATGCCCACGATCTTGCCCGACTTCTGGACGAAGAAGTCGTAGTCACAGTGGAAGGCCCACCGTTTGCCAATGGTAGTCATAATGGACTCCAGCGACTGGACCAGGCGCACTGGACGATTCAGTTTGTGGGCAGCGACAGAAGCGGCCGCAGCGGCGAGGTTGCAACGGGTGGCTTTGCCTCCGTAGCCGCCTCCGATGCGGCGGGTCTTCACCTGCACTTCGTTGGACCTCAGCTTGAGGATGTTCGCGATGTTGTCCTGCGACAAGTCCATCCACTGGGTGGCTACATACACTTGTAGGCCGCCCTCGAAAGGCACCGCCACCGTCGTCTGGGGCTCCATGTAGTAGTGGTACTGCAGGCCCATGTCCAGCTGTCCGGAGGAACTCAGATCGAAGTGTTCCCCTTCCAGGTCGAGGTTGTCCAGAGTGGACTTCACCTTCTGCTCGAGACGATCGCTTGACGAGGCTCCTACCTTATCCAGCACATCCTTTAGGGTGGGCAGCACTTCCTTAGCTCCTCCTTCGTAGGTGAGACTCACCAATTCTGCGGCACGATGGGCTAGGGAGTTGGTGCTGGCGACGATCAGACCCACCGGTTGGTTGTAGAACTTTATCTCCCCAGTGGCAAAAAGCTCCTCGTCTTGGGCAAAGAAATGTTGGTCGCGCGTCTTGGGGCCAATGTAGTTTGGTCCCGGTATGTCCTTGGCATCCAAATAGGCCACCACTCCGGGCAGAGCCAGGGCAGGCTGGGCGTCCACCTTGGTGACCTTCGCACCCACCTTTTTGGCTGTGACAAAGGCCGCCCACACCTGATTGTGTTGCGTGGGCAGATCATTGGAGTAGGTTGCCTCGCCGGAGCACTGGATGAGGCCCTCGTGCTTCTCCGTGGCCTTGGTCACCGGATAGTGCTCCTCGAATGTCTCGAAGCTCTGCTTTCCACTGGACACCGGCCGCTGCAGCAAGGATCCGCCCAGGGCGAAGCGACTGCCCACTCCCTGCTTCCGCTCGGCGGCTGTCTTCAGCAGGAACTTGTAGAAGAGTCCGCAGGCCAGCTTGCGGCGGTACACGGGCGAGGCGTCGGGCAGCACCTCATCGGGCTGCAGGAGAGTCGACAGCTGGCCAAAGGCCTTCTCCACCAGTCCATTCTCATAGGGACTGCGTCCCAGCAGCAGCTTCTCAATGGCCGTGGCATGGACGAACTCCGGGTTGATGCCGCCGAAGCAAATCCTCGCATTCTTCACCTTCGAAGCGTTGTCCAACTCGAGGAGGAACGCGGCATTGACATAGGCATGGGCGTTCTGGGCACGGGGCATGATCTGAGGGTGGGGAAAGAGATGAGTTCCAAAGCCTCCCCGGTGGAAGATTCCCTGATGGATCTCACCTTGTAGGAGTCGAACAGGAAGCGATCCTTGGGATAGGCAGGCAGCACGAATCCCCTTATGATCTTGCCCTCCATCGGCGTCTTCAGATAGCTGGCGAGGCTCACAGTCGCCTGCCTCACCACCGACTCCTGGACAATCACCTGTGCGTCCAGGGCCTCGAGGACGATGAACACGTCAGAGGGGAACTCCGGGTGGGCATGCTTGATGGCCAGATTGCCCGCCAAGGTGCCGGCCTGGGTTAATGCAAAAGAAATTGATAAGAGCGTCGAATGATACGATAAGTTGAGTAGGTGGAGAGCCAGCTGACGCGCTATCAGGCAGATAACAAGGCACTTGTCGACTTACATTGCGCACGGGAACGTTGGCGATCCAATCGAGGTGTTGCCACACCTGGGCCAGGTACTCGAAGCCTCTGGTCTGCTCCAGTTGGCTGCAGATGTCCATCGTCTCTGTGAGGCTCAGGTTGCCGCCAAGAGTAAGGGAGGAGGAGGCCAGCTTGTGTCCCTTGAGCTCTGCCAAGCCACCGACATCGATGAATGCCTTGATGTCCGCCCTGCGCCTGTACACCCCGTGGGCCGTGTTGCCGGCCACCAGCATGACGGGCAGCTTCTCTTTGAGAGCGCTCTGCAGGGCGTCAAAGAGCTGGCCGAGGCTCTCCGGCCAGCTCCAGCGGCTGCCGTCCAGGTAGACTTGACTGCCCCTGGGGGTCTGCTTCTTGCAGGTGCCGGCGCACAGTTGGCCCGTCTTGGGGCACTGCTTGGTGCTCAGATCCTCGATGTCCGCGCACTCCGCGGGCACCGCGATGTTGCTGTCCACCGCAAAGGACTTCATGGCATCCAGAATGGGGCGGTAGCCGGTGCAGCGACAGATGTTGCCCCCGAAGGAGTTCTCCACCTCCGCCATGGTCACGCGACCCCCCTTCGACTTGAGCAGCCCGTACATGTTCATGACGATGCCCGGCGAGCAGTAGCCGCACTGGGTGCCGTTCATCTTGGCCAGCCGCTCCTGGATGGCATGGTAGCCCACCCGCTTGTTGCCCAGCCCCTCCGCGGTGGTCACCTCCAGTCCCAGGCAGGTGTTCAGCAGCGTAAGGCACGAGTTTACGGCCCAGGTGCGCACCTCACCCGCTTCCGGATGGATGCCGGTCAGCGTGCACACGCAGACGCCGCATCCCCCCTCCTGGCACATGAACTTCGTCCCCGTCAGACCCGCATTCTCCCGGATGAAGGTGTTCAGCGAGATGTCCGCAGGCAGTGCAGCCAGATTCACTGCAGGCGAGACAAAATATTGCATTTGATTAGAGTCTGAACTGAGGCTGAGTTTATCTAATCGCACTAAGACACTACAACATTTTTAAACACTCTAAATTCGGGGTTACTGTTATACGAGAAATACTCTTCGACTATAATAATATCTGTCTATGAGCGGCACTCAGACACTAACACTAGTGTAATTATTTCCTGTGACTGTCGACACGGGTGGCCAATGGAGATAGCTTTTAAATGAACCTCCAAAATTAGACGTAAACTACACACAGACGAGATGTACATATGTATGTAAATATGTAGTTATTATCTACGAAGATATGCCTATCTAAATTGGCAGAATTTTGTGCATATCATTATGTACGTCTAACAACTTTTCTGTGTGATAAACACAACCATCGAAACAAGTCAAATGGCAGGCGTTGTGTTACCAATTCTGTTGCCTAAATTCTCTACAAGTTTCCGTAGAAAAACAACAAAAACATCAGCGTAAAGCAGGAATATTGAAACATGTTGAAGCGCTATTAATTGTCGTGTGCTTTATCTTTTGGATGACGCTTCAATCAAGCAATCAATTAACTGCCCACACACTCACCGTCATAGCTGGTGCCGTTGATTGTAATGCTGCCAGCCATTATTATCGGTGTCTTATATAATCCCTCGAGTCACTTGGAAGGGGTTGCCTGTATTTATTGTGAAATCAATTGCAGCCTTTCTGCCGTCTGTTCTTGTGGAGTGGCTTCTAGAAACTATTTATTTCACAATGTTAGAGACAAGCGATGCGAACGTTCCGCCGTACGTTGTTCACGCCGATCTCCGAGCTGCTACTGCACGTTAGGGCCATTCGCGACGCGTATTTATTGCGTAGCCGCAAAGGGAGCCCGCCTCGGCTTCGGCTTCGCTGCTCTGGTGGCAACTCTTCTAACTACGTTTCGATCGAGCGGAGAGAACTTTCATGCGTTATATACTTAATCGTTATCGCCCGCCCGCTCTCTTTCAGCAACTCTCCCACTCTCCCACGTTCTGTTTAGATGTAGCCATGAGTATATAAAGCTTTATCGGCTAATTGTTTGTTTAAGATTCTTCTGTTTTGCTCAGGTTTCTAAACAAAATGCGGCAATCGTCTGGGGTTCGGTCAGCAGCACTGGAAAGAGTGGAAAGCTTTTGGCTTGGCTCCAATAACTCATATGCCAAGAAAGCAAAGGGAGCTGAATGAAAGGGGTTTTGTTCGCTTTTTTTTACTGAACGGAATTAAGTCATAAGAAACTCCGACTGATTTATGTAAGCAAATATATTTCACCGAATTCCCCGCAACCAACTAAAATCTCGTAATAAGGCAAACCCAACCACATCCCCACTCAATTCAGGGCAAAATTCTGCACTTGGCTGCCCGCATTCAGGACCACAGTCTCCGGCGTGGTGGGCGCGCCCAGGCGCACCCACTCGCGCGGCAGGCCCGCATCCTGTCGGGCCGATTGAATGGCGTGCTGCATGGCAAAGAGCACGCCCACGGATAGGCACAGGGCTGGCTCGCCCGTGGCCTTGGAGCGCATAAAACCCACCGGATTGGGGCTCTTCTGGAGCAGTTCGATGCGAAAATCGATGGGAATGTCCTTGGCGCCGGGCGGATGGTAGTTCCAGGTGCGATTGGTGAGAATGCGGCCCGTCTGGCGATCGTAGACCAGCAGCTCGGTCAGATAGTAGCCCAGGCCCATGACAAAGGCGCCCTCCACCTGGCCCACATCGATATTGGGACTGAGACTCTCGCCAGCATCCTCCAGGATGTCCACGCGGCGTATCACGTGGCTGCCCGTCAGTATGTCCAGCTCCAGTTCGCTGAGACTCAGCCCGAAGATGCTGTAGCTGGGTATATCGCCCAGCTTGTACGAGTCGCTGGCTATGAGAATAACCGACTGCAGGTAGGCGGCCTGCAGGATCTGCAGCCAGGTGGCGGCTTTGCCCAGTCGCCTCTTGACGGGCTCCAGGCGTTTGTTCAGCGTGTCGCAGGCCTTGCGCACGGCCAGTCCGACCATTTCGCTGCTCATGGAGTTGGCCGTGATCATGGAGTTGGCTCCGCTCACCGTGTTGCTGCTCTCCACGCTCACCCGCTCCAGGGGCACGCCCAGCACGAAGGCCGCCACCTGGGCCGCCTTCGTGTTGATGCCCTGGCCAATCTCGATGCCGCCGTGCGTGACGACCACCGACCCATCCTCGTGGTAAATGGCCACCGTGGTGGGATATGTGAAGCCAACGGTCGTGTTCAGCGGAAACTCCATGAGGGCCAGTCCCAGGCCGCGTTTGCGCCAGCGATTCTGCGCATTGAACAGGTTGATCTGCTCGCGTCGCTTGCGGTAGTCCGTGGTGGCCAGGAACCGGGGCAGCAGCTGCACCATCTTGCTGCCCGATCGCAGATTGACCAGCCGCACATCGGCCGGATCCAGCTGGAGGCTGAAGGCGATGTGCTCCAAAGCTGTTTCCGTCATGGCAATGGCTGCAGCGGGAAGAGCGGAATTAGTTTAGGGCAGGGAAAAGAGTTGTGTTGCCAGGCAGGACTCACCCTCTGCTGTGCCAGGTGCCCGACACCAGGTGGAGCTGGGGGCATCGGTTAGGATGGCACTTCCCGTGGCCTTGTAGTTGGAATTGGTGAGTTTGTAGACATTCCTGAGGGCTGGCATTGTGAGGAAATCGACGACATTCTCGTTGAGATTGCAGCCCGCATCCTCGTAGTAGTTGTTGGTCAGCATAATGATCGATCCGTTGGCACGGGCTCGAAACTCGTAGTCCGAGCGGCAGGCCCAGCGCTTGCCATTGCTCTCCATCATGGATTCGATGGTCTGGACGAATCGGGCGGGTCGGTTGAGCTTGGCGGCGACCAGGGCGGCGGCACAGGCCACAGCATTGGCGCGCGTCACCTTTGCCCCATAGGCACCGCCCACACGGCGCACCTGCAGCTGCACCTTGTTCACGTCCAGCTTGAGCATGTGGGCAATGCTGCCCTGAGTGCCGTCCATCCACTGGGTGGAGCACCACACCTGCAGCACATTGTCCAGGGGCACCACAATCGTTGTCTGCGGCTCCATGGTGAAGTGGTACTGTGACTCCAGCTCGAGAATGCCCCGACCCAGCACATCGCCGGGCGCCAGAGGCGGGCCAGATGCAGAATCCAGATGGGGTAACTCCTTCGGCAGACAGACGATTCGATCCTGCTGCTTGGCGGCCAGCACTTGGCCGATGCTCGTGTAGATCGGCCGCTGATCGTTGGCGTACGTCACCCGCACCAGGGTGGCCGCATGGACGGCCGTGTCCTGCGAGAGGGCCGCAATCACACCCAAGGGTTGGTCGTAGTACCTGACCCGGCCAGCGGCAAAGATCTCGTCCGCGTCTGGGGTCAGCTGGCTGACCGTCTGGAAGCTATTCGTGCCCGGTATATCCTTGGCCGCAAAGAAGGCGACAACGCCCACGCAGCCGAGGGCAGCCGTGGCATCAATCTGCTGGATTGTGGCGCCCACACGCTTGGCCGTGACAAAGGCACAGTGGACGGCATTCGAAGCGGTCAACAGATCGTTCATATAGCTGGCCTCGCCCGAGCACTGCATGAGACCTGCAAAGATCCAAGAGGAAGAACTGAGATGGCGCTCCATCCTCCCATCCTCTCTGTGGCTTCCACGCACCTTCCAGCTTCTGTACTGGCTGTGTGACTGGATAGTTCTGCTTGATCGTCTCGAAGGTCTGACTGCCCGAGGACAGAGCCCGCTCCAGCAGCTGCCCGCCGCTGCGATAGCGTTCCCGCACCAGCTCCTGGGGCGCGGTGGCCAGCAGGAATTTGTAGAGCAGCGCACAGGCCAACATCTCACGGTACTCGGGCGAGGCCTCCGGCGGCCGCTCCTCGGCCTGCAGGCTGCCGCGCAGCTGCTCGAACATCTGGGCGACTGTGGCCGGGTCGTAGAGATCTCTGCCCGGCAGCAGCTGCTCCAGTGGCTGGGCGTGCACGTAGTCGGGTCGAATGTTGCCAAAGCAAATGCGCGCCGAGTGCACAATATGCCGCTGGACGTCCTGCCACTCGACGAGGAATCCCGCATTCACATAGGCATGGACATTCTGCGCTCTGGGCAGGATCTGCAAGCATACAAACCGAATCAAGGGGAGAACTTGTGAGGGAGCTTTGCCACAAGCCTTTACCTTGTAGGAGCTGAAGAGATATCTCTCCCTGGGATAGGCCCGCAGTATGAAGCCGCCAATGACCAGCTTGGGCGTGGCATCGCCCAGATACGTCAGCAGGCTCATCACACGCTGGCTACTGGGACTATCGTAGACCAGCACATTGACATCCAAAGCCTCGAAGGTGATGAACACGTCCGAGGGGAACTCGGGATGCTCCTTCTTGATGCTGATGTTCCCAGCCAGTGTGCCGTTCTGCAGAAAATGTCTATTAATAGCTGCTCTTTCTCTCAGTGTACGCAGCGCTGCTGCATTTGATTTACTAACGCGGCGACAGAAACTTGAGAAAGTTAAATGAATTTCAAGTGATTCGCTAACACAGAGCAGAGTCTATGCGAAAGGAGAAGCCATAGGGAAGGGGAATAAATAAAGTGGAGCTTCTCTTCACAGCACAAGAGTGGCAGAGTGGAAGAGTGGAAGAGCGGAAGAGTATCCCCCAGTTGCAGCCACCAATTAGCTGAATTTATCGCTGACCCAGGCCGAAACGAGTTTCGTGTATTTTATGGAGCGCTCGTGCGTTCTACTCACATTTCGCACTGGGACATTGGCAATCAGGTTGAAGTGCTGCCACAGCTGCGCACAGTACTCGAAGCCCGGCCGCTTGGCGGCAACTAGAAACAGTTCCATGGCATCCGTGAGTGTGAGATTGCCGCCCAGCAGCAGGTGATCCGTCTCGAGGCTGTGCTGCTTCAGCTCTGCCACCGCCTGAACATCGATGTAGTGACGAATGCCTCTGGGCCGCCGATAGACCCCGTGCGCCGTGCTGCCAGCCACCAGCATGAAGAGCTCGCCACTGGCCACCTGGCCGAGAGCCGAGAAGAGTTCCGTCAGCGTCTTGGGCCAATGCCAGTGGGCTGGCGCCGGGTCCTGCCTGCGCCGCGCCGGACGCGAGCAGCTGCCCTGGCAGGATTGTCCCGTGCGGGGACACAGCAGCTCGAAGGAGTCCTCAATGTCCACACACTCCGCGGGCACCGCAGTGTCGCTGTCCACCGCAAAGGACTTCATGGCATCCAGTATGGGGCGGTAGCCGGTGCAGCGGCAGATGTTGCCACCGAACGCGTCCTCCACTTGGGCCATGGTCACCTGGCCCTGGTGCTGCTCCAGCAGCCCGTACATGTTCATCACGAATCCCGGCGAGCAGTAGCCGCACTGGCTGCCATTCAGCTGGGCCAGACGCTTCTGTATCGGATGGTAGCCGCTCAGTCGATTGCCCAGTCCCTCGTCCGTGATGATATCCACATCGTCGCAGGTGTTGAGCAGCGTCAGGCACTTGAAATAAACTTTTATTAGCAGCTTGGCGGCATCGGGTGAAAGGAAAGCCAATCCCAGTCCCTGTCGCTGTACTTACAGAATTTGCTGCTCTTGGCTGCACCTCGTTGGTGGCCGGATGACGTCGTCGTATGACACACACACAGGAGCCGCAGCCGCCCTCCAGGCACATGTACTTGGTGGCCGTCAGCTGGAGATGCTGGCGGAGGAATGCGTTGAGGGTGAGGTCCGGGGCATAGTCCGTCGCCTGCACCTCGTAGGGGAAGCCATTCACGCTGAATTTGATGCTCATCGCTGCAGAGTCGCCGGCCAAATGGTGCCCAGCTCTTGGCCATTCGCTTCTATATCAAAGCCGCTGGCTGAAACCTGATTACCCCGTTAATTAGGCTAAACGGGTTCCCAGCAGAGCGTTCGTCACCAAAGCAGGCACTGTGCGAAATCTTCAAGCTAATCGCAGCAGCCCACCACCCCACAAAGTGCATTCGAAATGGGGTAACAATGGGGTACCCTTTGGGGTACAATGCATAGTAAATATATTTGAAGTAAATGTGGAAAAGAGAAAAACAAAGGAAAACCCATTCAAAATTAGAAACTACTTGAGCCGAAAGCTGGTCGCCTCATGTCCCGCATTCAGCACCAAAGTCTCCGGCGTCGAGGGTGCGCCCAGACGCACCCACTCGCGCGGCAGGCCCGCATCCTGTCTGGCCGATTGCAGGGCCTGCTGCAGGGCAAACACCACACTCACGGCCAGGCAACAGGGCGGCTCCCCAGTGGCCTTGGAGCGCATAAAACCGGGCCCATTGGCATTGGGTTTCTGGGCCAATTCAATGCGAAAATCAATGGGTATATCCTTGGCGCCGGGCGGCTTGTAGTTCCACGAGCGGTTCGTCAGCAGGCGGCCCGTTTCGCGATCGTAGATCAGCAGTTCGCTGAGCCAGTAGCCCAGGCACATGACAAAGGCGCCCTCCACCTGCCCAATATCGATGAACGGACTGAGACTCTCGCCAGCATCCTCCAGGATGTCCACGCGCTTGATTTGATTGTTGCCGGTGAGCACATCCAGCTCGATTTCGGTGAGCGCCATGCCGTACACGTGGTAGTTCTCCATGTCCCCCGCTTTGTAGTGATCGGAGGCAATCAGATTGATGGACTTGGCATAGGCAGCCTCCACGGTCTGCACCCAGCTGTCGCCGCTCTTCTTCACCGGCTGCAGGCGGCCGTTGAGGGTCTCGCAGGCTTTGCGCACGGCAAAGCAGAGACTCTCGCTGCCCACGGCCCCGCCAGTGACCATCGAGTTGGCCCCATTGATGGTGTCCGAAGATTCCACCTTGATGAAACCCAAATCGATGCCCAGCGTATAGGCAGCCACCTGAGCCACCTTGGTGTTCATTCCTGCCACGATAACAGCGGATATTAATGGAGGAAATCATTCTCTAGAGTTGTCTCTATTCACCTTGACCCATTTCAATGCCTCCGTGGGTGACCACAACAGTGCCATCCACATGGTAGATGGCCACCGTGGCGGGATACTGGCCAAAGTAGAAAATGGGATAGTCCATTACGGCCAGGCCCAGGCCGCGCTTCAGCCAGCGGTTCTTGGCATTGTGCTCCTCGATCTGCTGCTTCCTGGCGTGGTACTCCCGCGACGCCAGGAACTGCGGCAACAGCTCCGACATTTTGTTTGTGGCAGCTATGTTGAACAGTCGCACGGCTGCCGGATCGCCTTGCACCTCGAAGGCCACATGCTCAATGATGTTCTCCATCATGGCAATGCCCTCCACCGAGCCCGGTGCCCGACACCAAGTGGAGCTGGGCGCATCTGTCATCACCGCGTTGCCATTGTTCTTGAAGTTGACGCCAGTGAAGTCGTAGCAATTGGTGGCCGTCAGTGTCGAGTGGCCCTCGATGGGACTCTCGTTGTTCACCCAGCCAGCATCCTCGTAGAAATCGTTCGACAAGCCAACAATCTTGCCGTTGGCCTTCACGTGGCACTGATAGTCGGAGCGACAGGCCCAGCGCTTGCCATTGCAGTCCATCATCGACTCCAGAGACTGCACAAAGCGCACAGGACGATTCAGCTTATGGGCAGCCAAAGAAGCGGCGCAGGCCAGCTGGTTGCCGCGGGTTATCTTGCACACATAGCCACCGCCCAAGCGACGCACCTGCCAGGAGGATTAGTTATCGATGAGCTTAGGAATTGAAAGGAATAAAAGCCCACCTGTAGCTGCACATCCTTGGCCTTCAGCTGCAGCATGTGGGCGATGACAGCCTGCGTGTGGTCCATCCACTGCGTAGCCGAGAAGACCTTCAGGCCGTCCTCAAAGGGAATGACCACCGTCGTTTGGGGCTCCATGGTGAAGTGATACTGCAGGCCCATCTGGAATATGCCTCTGACTTCCACGTCGGGAGTGTCGGAGAATGTCACCTCGTTCAGCTCCGATTTGGCCACAGCAATGATGCGTGAAGGATCCGGAGAGTCGCCGGCAAAGACATCCTCGATGCTGGGCATCAACTGGAAGTCCGCGTTCGCCTTAGAGTAGGTGATCTTCACCAGCTTTGCAGCGCGCTGAGCCTGATCGGCAGTGAGGGCTACCATTACACCCGCAGGTTGTTCCGAGTGCCGCACCATGCCGGAGCAGAAGATCTCCTCCGCCTGGTAGCCAAAGCTTGGCTCGCAGAAGGTGTTTGTTCCCGGTATATCCTTGGCACTGTAGAAGGCAATCACCCCAGGCTGCTGCAGCGCCTCTTTGGCATCAATGGCATCGATGGTGGCTCCCACCTTGGTCGCGCCCACGAAGGCGCAGTACACGGTGTTGGACGCGGTCAGCACATCGTTCATGTAGGTCGCTTCCCCCGAGCACTGGATCATGCCCTCCACCTTCTGCACGGCCTGTGTTACGGGATAGTTCTGCTTCTGGGTCTCGTACACCTGCACACCCGACGATAATGGACGCTCAAGGATCTGACCGCCGCTCTTGAAGTTATCCGCGACCTCCGCGTTCGGGGCATGCTTCAGCAGAAACTTGTAGAGCAATCCGCAAGCCAATTTGGAGCGGTAGGCGGGACTGGCGTCGGGCAGCACCTCGTCCGGATTGAACTGGCTGGGAAGCGTGTCGAAGGTCTGCTCTATGAGTCCACTCTCGTAGGGACTGTGGCCCACCATCAGCTGCTCGATGGCAGTGGCGTGCACGAAGTCGGGTCGAATGCCGCCAAAGCAAATCCTGGCACTCTTCACCTTCGCACCGCTGTCCAACTCGAGCAGAAAAGCAGCATTGACATAGGCGTGGGCATTCTGGGCACGAGGCATGATCTGCGCAGCAGGAAAGGACTTTTATGAGAAGCGAAAGGGGAACCCTGGAGCACAATCACCTTGTAGGAGTCGTATATAAACTTATCCTTGGGATAGGCGGGCAGCAGGAATGCCTTGATGACCAGTTTCCTGTTGGAATCACTCAAGTAATCCCCCAGGGAGAGGGTCTGCTCTTCGGTGGCGCTCTTCATGGCCAGAACCTTGGCATCCAAAGCCTCAAGGGAGAGAAAGACATCCGAGGGGAACTCGGGATGTTGTTTCTTGATCGAAATGTTTCCAGCCAAGGTTCCCGACTGCAAGAAAGAGCAATTATTCCTCCGATGACTGTCCCTGGGAACTGACTCCACACTCACATTCCGCACGGGGACATTCGCAATGAGGTCCAAGTGGTTCCACAGCACCTCCAGATACTCGAAGCCCGGCTGCTTGGACGTCGTGCGAAGGATGTCCATGGTCTGGGTCAGACTGAGGTTCGCTCCCAGCTTCAGCTGCTGCCCCTCAGTGCTGTGCCCATGCAGCTCCTCCACCCCAGCCACATCAACGAAGTGCTTAATGTCCGTCGATCGCCTGTAGACACCGTGCGCCGTGTTGCCAGCCACCAGCATGAATTGGTCTGCCTCTCCGATCTTGTCCAGCGCCTCGAACAGCTCCGTCAGGGTCTTCGGCCAGTGCCACTGGCTGCCGTCCTCGTAGAGCAAAGTGGAACGGTGGCAGCTGCCGCTGCAGGGCTCCCCCGTCCTGGGACAGTTGCGCGCCTCCAGGTTCAGATCCTCGATGTCCGCACACTCCGCGGGCACCGCAATGTCGCTGTCCACCGCAAAGGACTTCATGGCATCCAGTATGGGGCGGTAGCCGGTGCAGCGGCAGATGTTGCCTCCGAAGGCGTTCTCCACTTGGGCCATGCTCACCTGGCCCTGGTGCTGCTCCAGCAGCCCGTACATGTTCATCACGAATCCCGGCGAGCAGTAGCCGCACTGGGTGCCATTCATCTTGGCCAGACGCTTCTGAATGGGATTGTAGCCGGTGCGCTGGTTGCCCAACCCCTCGGCAGTGACGATCTCCAGCTGGGCGCAGGTATTCAGCAGCGTGAGGCACTAGACAGAGAGAACACAAACGATTTGTGGTTAGAGGTTGAGTGGATGACTCGATGGGATCTGTTCAAACCGAATTGACGGCCCAGCTGCGGGTTGCGTTGCGCACCACGCACACACAGGCTCCACATCCGCCTTCCTGGCACATGAACTTCGTGGCCGTCAGCTGGGCATGCTCCCGTATGAAGGTGTTCAGAGTGATGTCCGGGGGGAGATTGGTGAGATTCACTGTGCAAAATAGAGGGAGAGAACAGGTTAATTTGTGCCAAATGAATGGCCTAGAGGGCCAACGATTGCGTGCACTTGCATCTGCTTTTGTGCCAGACTTTATTCGTATTATTGTCATTATTATCTCAAGATAACACATATCATATTAAATGACATATGATCATATTAGTTCACCCCTACAATTTGTTTACATCAGAGACGCATATTCGCTTTTCCGAGTACAGTACGCAACTGGAGACTATAGCAAGGGGAATACAAAATAAATATGAAAACTCAATGCGGATGGATGGCCTTTTTCGCTAATAAATAGATAACGAAATGATGTTACGATTAAGATATGAAGCAAACACAGTAAAGAGTTCGTTCTGATTTCCAGTACTTTCATCTATGGCTAGGAATGGAATTTCTTTACACTATTAAATTTATCTTAGATGGTTCGAAAGCATAAAAAAACGAGAAGGAACGTGTGAGTCGCTTCTGGGGACCCGACTCTACTTATACCCGAACTCAGTCAGTATATACATTTTTGAGCTTATGATTTTTTAGAATATTAAAATTTAAAAAAAAATGTACATTTTAAATTTTTTTGCTACATCTGTTATCTACATCTACATCTACAATGTATATTTTACATCTAACATGAAGATTATAGATGTACCATTCATATTCTACATCTCCTCCGCTAGTGGTTGTTCGCGCACTGAACGCTCCAGAGTGTGCGAGCGAGAAGGAAAATGAGTTGCGTTGTTGTGGGCAGGAGGCGGCAGGGGAAGCAACAGAAAATTAATTTCTTCATTCTGGCTGTAATTGTGATCCGATCTGATTCGGGTTTGGCAAATTTTGAAATAAACTTGTAGCAGTGTGATATCACATGAGTCTGGAAACCAAATTTGGTTGCTCTAGCTCTTATAGTCTCTGAGATCTAGGCGCTCATCGAGACGGACAGACGGACAGACAGACAGACGGACCAGACAGACATGGCTCTATCGACTCGGCTATTGATGCTGATCAAGAATATATATACTTTATGCGTTACACACATCCACTTTTACCACAAATCTAATATACCCCTTAACTCTTTTTTGAGTACGGGTATAAAAATTAAAAATGAATTAAGGGATGTACTTCCTATGATTGTATCCATGGTTCTACTTTTTACACTATTTATATACATACATATACATACATATACATACATATACATACATGTATATATATATATATATATATAAAATATAATATATTTATTTATTTATTTATAGAGTTACAAACTAATAGCCTAGCTTAATATAAAATATTTTTATCATAATTTCTTTGTTTACCTAGCGTAACTAACGATCTTTCTCACTATTTCATGTGAAACTCACCCGTGTACGGCTGTCCATTAATTGTGAATTTCGTAGTCATTTTGCTGGTTAACACAACACAACAGAAACACTTAAATATCAGCTGCTGATATTTTTTCTATAAATAATTCAATTAGTTGCGACTTTTAAAATATTTTCAAATATTTTCCGTTTGGCGTTCGTTCCACTGCGAAATGCCTTCTTGCCTCAAGCACTGCCGTTGCTTAACTGAACGAACGAACGAACCAATCGATTCGATCTCCTCTTGACGATCTGTTCAACAGAATTTGATTGCGATTTTTGTGACAGCCGTAGATAAATGTCAGTTGGACGGGAACGCTGTATAAATTAACAATAATTTAGTTAAATTTTCATGCCGCGCGATCGGCAATAATTGCAGTCTATCGCTTCGGCGGCTCCGTTACGTTTCAGCTGCTCCATGGAAACTGGCTGCGACTGCCGGCCCGCTGGCTTCTGAAAATATTTCTTTGCCTTTTTTTTTTGCCATTCGTCAGCTGTTTTTTGTTGCTAACTTTTGGCCGCTGTGCCTAGTCACGATACATGCAAGAATAGCAAAAAAAAAAAAACAAGAGAAAATAGGTCAAGCTTTGGCGCAACGAAGCAGGGAATACACTTTGCCAGGGAATGATTCGGGATCGGATAAACAAGTGACCTTCTTGGCTTCGGGAAAAAACAGACCGAGACTTTGTAGTTGTAAGCTAATGACAATTAAGAGAGCGTTCTCCTTGGCTTATGAGATTAAATTAAATTCTTTTTTTTATACATTGCAGTCATTGCTTCTGCCAACACTAATGTACCCTTCGTACGCCCTACCTTAAACAAAATTTTTTTTGGCGCTTCGTCGCGTCAACAAATTACTACGCACATACATATGTACATATGTATGTACGTGAGAGAGGCCTTTGTTGGAGTTACATATGCACATACATATATTTGTATTTTGATTGCATACTGGGGATAATAATAGTCGTTATATCTGGCTTTTTAGCGTATAACGATTTGTATATATTTGCTTTGTGTTTATTTAATGACTTTCCATGCCAAACAAAGTTACTAATCTACCTTTAATTTGCCTTAAACGCCACACCGCGTCACGTGTACACTAAAAATAGTCAAACAGAAGGAACATTTCCTAGCAGTGCGATAGAGAGAGGGCGATAGAGTGTGAGAGAGCATAATGCCGGCCGGCATAATAGCATAATGTTTGCGCGCTCTCCTCTTCCATTCCCACTCGACCATGTTCAGCAGAGACAACAACAAAACGTATTTGAAAAGCTTCAACATTCGAAAAACTAGTAGAACAAGCTCTTAAGTGATATTAATTAAAACACTCAAGCGTTCGTTCGAACAGAGTGGAGCCAAAAGTTAAACAGCAATTGAAAAAGTTGCCGAATAATTAATGTTATTCGTGAGAGAGCAGAGCGGAGCGGAATGGAATAAGCAAAACAAACAAACGGGACAACGTGAAGCTTTTACAGCTTGTATGTACATATGCATGTGGGACAGAGAGAGAGAGAGAGGAGCTACAAAGCTACACAACAGAAGAGCGAAGCTTTTTTTGTAGCAGATCTGGCAGTGCTGTGATTTTATTTAAGAGCGTCGATCCACAAGCAAAGCACGAGAGAAAACGTTAATTTGAAGAGCTTCGGTTTTGGAGTGTTAAAAAAATAATAGGTGAACGATAATGTGGGCAAACATAACACACAGAAGAATACAATACAATTCTAGTGAAATCCATACAGTACCTATTTGAGCTTAAAATCCGTAGCTTGGTGCCCCGCATTGAGCAGCAGAGTCTCGGGAGTTGTCGGCGCTCCTAGTCGCAGCCACTCCCGTGGCAGGCCCGCATCCTGTCGAGCGGACTGCATCGCCTGCTGCAGGGCAAATATCACACTCACAGCCAGGCAACAGGGCGGCTCTCCAGTGGCCTTGGAACCCATAAAACCAGCCCCATTTGGTTTGGGATTGTGCACCAGCTCAACGCGGAAATCAATGGGAATATCCTTGGCCCCCAGTGGGTGGTAGTTCCAGGTGCGATTGGTCAGCAGCCGGCCATTGTCGCCCTCGTAGATGAGCAGTTCGCTGAGCCAGTAGCCCAGGCCCATGACAAAGGCGCCCTCCACCTGCCCGACATCGATATTGGGGCTGAGACTCTCGCCAGCATCCTCGAGAATATCGACGCGGCGTATCACAATGTTGCCAGTAAGCACATCCATCTCCACTTCGGTTAGGGCCAGTCCCAGCACATGATAGTTCTGCATATCGCCCGTCTTGTAGTGATCGGAGGCAATCAGATTGATGAGAGCGGCATTGGCGGCCTCAACGGTCTCCACCCAGCTGGCCTTGCTCTTCCGCACGGGCTTCAGCCGGCCGTTGAGGGTCTCGCAGATCTTGCGCACGGCATAGCAGACACTCTCACTGCCAATAGCATAGCCCGTCACCATGGAGTTGGCTCCATTGATGGTGTCAGAGGACTCCACTTTGATGTAGCTCAAATCTATGCCCAAGGTATAGGCAGCCACTTGGGCGATCTTTGTGTTCATGCCTGAAAAGAGATCAGGATGAGATCAAGAGAACAGAGAGAGTTCCATAACTCACCTTGGCCCATTTCAATGCCGCCGTGGGTGACCACAACAGTTCCATCCACATGGTAGATGGCCACCGTGGCCGGGAACTGTCCAATGTAGATGACGGGAAAGTTCATTACGGCAAGGCCGAGACCTCGTTTGGTCCAGCGATTATTGGCATTGTGCATATCGATCTCCTTTCTCCTGGCAAAGTACTCCCGCGACTTGAGGAACTCTGGCAGCAGGGCAGCCATCTTCGTCTTGCCACTGATGTTGGCCAGGCGCACGTCTGCCGGATCGCGCTGCAGCTCAAAGGCCACATGCTCAATGATGTTCTCCATCATGGCCAGGCCCTCAACGGAGCCTGGGGCACGACACCAAGTGGAGCTGGGGGCATCTGTGAGCACCTCATGGCCACTGAGCTTAAAGTTTTTGTCCGTGAACTCGTAGCAATTGCCCGCCGTATAGGTGGAGTGCCCCTCCACGGGACTCTCGTTGGTATTCCAGCCAGCATCCTCGTAGAAGTCATTCGATAGGCCCACGATTTTGCCACTGGCCTTCACGTGGCACTCATATTCAGAGCGACAGGCCCAGCGCTTGCCATTGCAGTCCATCATCGACTCCAGAGACTGCACAAAGCGCACAGGACGATTCAGCTTATGGGCAGCCAGAGAGGCGGCGCAGGCCACCTGGTTGCCGCGGGAGATTTTCGAGCCATAGCCACCGCCCAAACGACGCACCTGTCAGGAGGATTAGTTATCGATGAGCTTAGGAATTGAAAGGAATAAAATAAAAGCTCACCTGTAGCTGCACATCCTTGGCCTTCAGCTGCAGCATGTGTGCGATGACAGCCTGCGTGTGGTCCATCCACTGCGTAGCCGAGAAGACCTTCAGGCCGTCCTCAAAGGGAATGACCACCGTCGTTTGTGGCTCCATGGTGAAGTGATACTGCAGGCCCATGTCGAAGATGCCCCTTACCTCCATATCAGGCTTATCGGAGAATGTGACGTCTTTCAGCTTCGATTTGGCCACTGCAATGATGCGCGAAGGATCCGGAGTGGCAGAGGCCAAGACATCCTTCAGAGTAGCCAGCAATTTGAAGTCGCAGCTGGCATGACTGTAGCTGATCTTCACCAGCTTTGCTGCCCGCTGTGCCTGATCGGCAGTGAGGGCCACGACCACTCCCGCAGGTTGTTCCGAGTGCCGCACCACGCCGGAGCAGAAGATCTCCTCCGCCTGGTAGCCAAAGCTGGGCTCGCAGAAGGTGTTTGTTCCCGGTATATCCTTGGCACTGTAGAAGGCAATCACCCCAGGCTGCTGCAGCGCCTCTTTGGCATCAATGGCATCGATGGTGGCTCCCACCTTGGTCGCGCCCACGAAGGCGCAGTACACGGTGTTGGACGCGGTCAGCACATCGTTCATGTAGGTCGCTTCCCCCGAGCACTGGATCATGCCCTCCACCTTCTGCACGGCCTGTGTTACGGGATAGTTCTGCTTCTGGGTCTCGTACACCTGCACACCCGACGATAATGGACGCTCAAGGATCTGACCGCCGCTCTTGAAGCTATCCGCGACCTCCGCGTTCGGGGCATGCTTCAGCAGAAACTTGTAGAGCAATCCGCAAGCCAATTTGGAGCGGTAGGCGGGACTGGCGTCGGGCAGCACCTCGTCCGGATTGAACTGGCTGGGAAGCGTGTCGAAGGTCTGCTCTATGAGTCCACTCTCGTAGGGACTGTGGCCCACCATCAGCTGCTCGATGGCAGTGGCGTGCACGAAGTCGGGTCGAATGCCGCCAAAGCAAATCCTGGCACTCTTCACCTTCGCACCGCTGTCCAACTCGAGCAGAAAAGCAGCATTGACATAGGCGTGGGCATTCTGGGCACGGGGCATGATCTGCGCAGCAGGAAAGGACTTTTAAGAGAAGCGAAAAGGGAACCCTGGAGCACAATCACCTTGTAGGAGTCGTATATAAACTTATCCTTGGGATAGGCGGGCAGGAGGAACGCCTTGATGACCAGTTTCCTGTTCGAATCACTCAAGTAATCCCCCAGGGAGAGGGTCTGCTCTTCGGTGGCGCTCTTCATGGCCAGAACCTTGGCATCCAAAGCCTCAAGGGAGAGAAAGACATCCGAGGGGAACTCGGGATGTTGTTTCTTGATCGAAATGTTTCCAGCCAAAGTTCCCGACTGCAAGAAAGAGCAATTATTCCTCTGACCAGTGTCCCTGGGAACTGACTCCACACTCACATTCCGCACGGGGACATTCGCAATGAGGTCCAAGTGGTTCCACAGCACCTCCAGATACTCGAAGCCCGGCTGCTTGGACGTCGTGCGAAGGATGTCCATGGTCTGGGTCAGACTGAGGTTCGCTCCCAGCTTCAGCTGCTGCCCCTCAGTGCTGTGCCCATGCAGCTCCTCCACCCCAGCCACATCAACGAAGTGCTTTATGTCCGTCGATCGCCTGTAGACACCGTGCGCCGTGTTGCCAGCCACCAGCATGAATTGGTCTGCCTCTCCGATCTTGTCCAGCGCCTCGAACAGCTCCGTCAGGGTCTTGGGCCAGTGCCACTGGCTGCCGTCCTCGTAGAGCAAAGTGGAACGGTGGCAGCTGCCGCTGCAGGGCTCCCCCGTCCTGGGACAGTTGCGCGCCTCCAGGTTCAGATCCTCGATGTCCGCACACTCCGCGGGCACCGCGATGTCGCTGTCCACCGCAAAGGACTTCATGGCATCCAGAATGGGGCGGTAGCCGGTGCAGCGGCAGATGTTGCCTCCGAAGGAGTTCTCCACTTGGGCCATGCTCACCTGGCCCTGGTGCTGCTCCAGCAGCCCGTACATGTTCATCACGAATCCCGGGGAGCAGTAGCCGCACTGGGTTCCATTCATCTTGGCCAGACGCTTCTGTATCGGATGGTAGCCGCTGCGCAGACTCCCCAAACCCTCGCATGTAACGATCTCCAGCTGGGCGCAGGTATTCAGTAGTTTGAGGCACTGCAAAGCGATGGGAGATCTTTGTGAGAACTGGAATGATTCCGTTGATCTTTGAGCCAACCGAATTGATGGCTCTGGGTCCGTTGGCATCGCGCACAACGCACACACAGGCTCCACAGCCGCCCTCCAGGCACATGAACTTCGTGGCCGTCAGCTGGGCATGCTCCCGTATGAAGGTGTTCAGAGTGATGTCCGGTGGGAGATTGCTGAGATTCACTGTGGCAAATGGAGGGGAATTTCTTGTGACTAGAGTTGTAGTTAGTTGCAAGGAAAAAAGGATCCCACAGCTGATGTGTATCCTTTACCCACCCGTATAGGGTTCTCCATTGATCGTAAATGTGGTGGACATTTCACTTTTGGTTGTGTTAACTTTCTGCGGAATTTATTTACGTATTTTTGCAGCTGCTGGGACACTCGCCGATGGTCAACTGATGGTCCCTCTGGACGCTCCACCCGGCTTTATTTGTTCTGCAAATCAGTTGGCAGTTACAATATTTGCCAGAATCGTTTATGAAATTACAAATAATTTTTGTTGCGGTTATAAATTACAGTTTTTGCGCTTTGTTGATTCCCATGCAACAGATTTATTTGCTGTTACTTGTTGCCTTTTGTTGTGCGGCAATTTCCATTCAATGCATATAATGGCGATTATTTATTTATTGTTTGTTTTGTAAGTAATATTCATATTCATTTAAGAGTTAAGTTATTCCATTAGCTATCAATTTGTGAGTAATTTAGTTATGTTTTATGGCGGATCTGCACTACTTAGAGGAGTTTCATTTTATTTTGGGAATTATTTCGTTTAACGTTAACAAGCCAGAATATTTTTTGTTCATTATTAACCCTCTCGTATCGCGTGTATCTTGACGCGGCTTAATTAATTAAATACATGTTCCCCTTCTTCGTCGTTGTTTCTTTTCGTTTTATTAACTCGCGAGAGGGCAAAACTGTCAACTCATTGGGAAATCATTTGTCAAAATATAAATCGATGTTTCCTTTCGAGAAATGAAAACGAAAAATCTTACATAATCATGGCCACAAAACATGCAGAAAGAACAACAAAGAGAACCGTTCCGCCTCTTGCAGCTTATCGATATTCAAGAATCGTTTTCCAAAACCACACACACACACACACACATAACAAATAAAATACGCGTAATAATCATAATCAAACGACAACAAAAAAAAGGGGAAAAAAATGGAAAAAAAAAAAAAAATGGAAGAAAAAAACAAGAGTAAAAGAACTTTTTGAACAAGTAAAATTAAAATATGAATAACGCAATCTTTTCTCACATGGCTAGGCATTTTGGTATCGTCGGAGGCAACCCGCTGTCAAACAGGTAAGCAGCCAGCCAGAGGCCAGCCAGAGTCCAGGGTCTGAGTTCTGACCCAACCGCTCCTTGTTGCTACGTTCGGGGGAGTGTCCATTGTTGGCTGGTTTCTTGGTTTTTTTTTTTATGTATTTTTTTGGAGCTGTCATGCATAATAAAATTCCAATATATTTGACCGTACGTACGCCTTCGCCTTCGCCCTGTCTTGTCTTCGTTTCGTTTCGTTTCTTCTTCTCGATTGCGGATCCTTATCAAACACGAAAAGTGACGTGAGCCTCTCCATATCCATATCCCCCCCCACTCAAACTTCGAACCCGACCCGAAAAGATGATGCACACACAGAGACAGACAGACAGACACAGGGACAGTACCCCCACACCCCACACCCACAGGTAAGTGTTGGGTTTTATTGGCCAACGGCCATTTGATGCTCACAACTACAGCACGGATGAGATGACACTGACCCACTGACAAGTCAGAGCCAAGCCCAGGTTCTGGTTGAGGTCCCAGGCCAAAAGCAAAGGTGAGACGACACCTCACTCAATTGGCAACATCTTGGCTGAACCCATAAATATGCGATGCGATGCCTTTGGGAGCTAAAAGATTACCTCAAGTTTATAGCTAAAACTTTTCGGCTGCAGATAGTGCAGGAAAAAAATTGACTAGAAGAGAATCAAAATTTTCCACTTCTTTTATTTCGAAAATGCAAACAAATGTTCATTGTATTCACATCTTTCAGATCCAGGATCACATTATCCATCACTCACCCTTACCCTTCCCCGTGGCATTGGATGTTACTGTTACCCCCTCTCAGAGAAATAAATGGATAACTACTCGATGGTGACACTGTTAACCCTTTGTCACTTCCATTGACAGTTCAATAATGCGTCATTTGGTGTGTGTGTGGGGGTTGGGGGAGCTGGGACTCTGATGCGAAGAGGGTACACTGCTGTCACATCAAAACTGGACAGAAGGAAGACTTGAAACTGCCAGCAGGTACTAAGAATCTGCTTTCAGATAGGGCAAAGATGAGCTTAGACGTGAAAAAAGATTATTTGGAAGCTTAGTTGGGCTTATGAATGTAAATCTAAAAACGTTTAAAATGCTTAATGAATGGATAATGAATTAGCAAAATAAAAGACTAAATCTGTTCCGATTTAGAACTTCTGATTGCCAAGGAATATATTCTCTATGATTTAAGACTGTGTTCAGCTCTTTAGTTCGTTGATCTTTGCCAGTTTACATTGATAAATCGAGGTGTTTTTATATCTAAAACAAAACTAAAATATCTTTATTAAGCGTAAGAGTATCCGCTCTTCTCTATGTCCTTATGCAGTTGTTTCTCCCCACACCCTTGTGCTTTTTGTGCGGTCGGTTCTTAGCCATCATGCTGGCATTCATTGGCTTGTTGGCTTCCCAGACTCAGTCCGCAACAGTCCACTCCTCTTTCAGAGAAGTCTCAGTCTCTTGTCGCCTGTCGGATGTCACATTAAATTCGCATTATTTGCTTGAAATAATTTCTGCGTTTATCGTTTTGGGGGACAACTGCTTCCACTGCTTCCACTACTGCTTCCACGTCTTCCACTGCTTCCACTGCTTCGCTTCGTCTTCTTCCTATCCTCTGCTGTTGTTGCTGTTGTTGCTGTTGCATGCTGCAACCGGAGGGATAAGCAGACACCAGACGACGCATTTTAATGACTTTTGGCGGATTCGTTGGCAGCTTCCCCCCTTCCAAGAGACAAATGGCTGTGCTTATGGAGCTGAAATGCCATTTAATTGATTCATCAGCGCTTCATTATTGATTAGCAACGATTGCGGTATTGGTTTTGGGTTACTGCGGCCAAGTTCGGGAACCGACCCCCCACCAAGGTGCAGCCGTTGAGGGTTGGGCTTGCCTCGGGTCTGCAGACTGCACCTGCCACTGCCGCGGCCGCGGCCGCCCTCTGTGGCAGCAAACTGTCGTCAAACTCATTTGCGGCAGACTATTTAACATTTCTATTTTTTACGAGTTCAACGAAAAATCTATAAAAACTCTTTAAATGGAACGCAACCGCCGGCCCCCCGGCGCTGTCATTTTATTTGCGACAAATAAACAAATAACAAATTTCTATATATATTTAAGTGAAATGAGCTTTCCCATTCGACACAAAAGCAGACAGAACAGACCAGACCAGACCCGACCAGACAGGGAACCGAGCGGAAACCTAATTGAAAGAAGCCACGCAAATTGAGTTAACCAAGCGGAAAACCAGGCCATTAAATTCCATCTGTGGGAGTGGAACGGAACCCACTCGGGTCACAACATGGACATGGACTTGAACATTGGAAACTTCATGTTGGACATGGAAGTGGGAACTGAACGCCGCTGCCTCGACTCGACTCGACACCGACTCTGCCTGCGATTCGATTCATTTCGTTTCATTTCAATCCCATTTCGATTTATGGCATTTGGCAATTGTGTGGCAATTTAATAGCAATTTTCTGCCCCGAACCCGAACAAAAAAATTCAACGAAACTTTTTGATGAAATGCAATTGGAAAATTGTCACGGCTTGACGACCAAACAGCCAACCGAACGACCAAAAACCAAACAGAGCGAACTCCTCCTCCTTCAATCATGCCAACGGACTGTCCGAACATTGGTAACAATGGCAACGACAGCCCATACGACCCATACGACGAGTAGGAGTAACAATCACTTGTCATGTGCCCTGACAAACTATTTCGATCAGAAATCGAAAGTTGAACTGACATTCGACAACTGGTGGGGCGGCAATCAGCGACATTCGAGGCAATTGACAGACTGACAGAATTTCCAGTTTATGCGGCAAGGAAGAGAGATGGTATGTGTCTACTTATATCCAATCCAATCTGATTAATTATGGACTGTTGCTTGGCAAAGTGAAGGACTGGAGGACTGGAGGATTGCAGGATTGGATTGGTGTATCAGGTTTTGATAAGCTTTATCTACCAGTTGCTGCCTTGTTTTCGGCTCTCTTTTTTTGGATTTGATGAATGTATTTCCTTCCACTTATCCCACACAAAAATATCTCTCTGGTTTTTTATGCCTAACTTGGCAAAGCGCCTACCTAGCAGATGCATTCAAAGATAACTTAGCCGACGACAAACAGCAAAACATTCAGATACAAAGATAACATAAAAAAAATACAAGTGAGAAAGACAGAGGGAGGGGTGCACTGAAGCGGCGCAGGCGACGAAGAGCAAATGCTCTAAGAAAAACCAAAAGAAATATACCAATATATGCAGTCAAATTTAGTAAATTAATATTCAATCTTTGCCTCCTTTTATGGTTCATAATCTCAATGCGAGTTGCCCTTTTTGGTGAGTGTATCTTGAAATTGGCCAAGAAGCGCAGCACATAATAAAAAGTAGGCGCGATAAATTATTAAGTGACTGTGACGTGGATGACTCCCTGCCCCAAAAGCTTCTGCCTGCCGTCTGTCCTGCCCCACCGTTTGCCAGCTTTCGAGTCATCCTCCTGTGGCGTGGATTTTGTCACCCAAACGAGGCGTGCGGCGGCACACACTAGACGGTGTTGTCTCTGCTCTTATCTGCCCGGATGACGGGCGTTATTTTGCTTTCATTTATTTGTATTTTACTTTTTCGCCTCCTCCGTTTAACTGTGGGAGCCAACAACTTAATTTCTGATTTATTTTGTATACCCTCGAAAAGGCTTTCGCAAGTGTTCAAGGGGCCCATATCATGGCAACCACTTTGACTGCCTTAAAGTTAAATTCTCTGCCTATAAACCAAATAATTCTTATGATCTTTCAAGTCTTGGATATATTTGTAACTCAGTGCCAGGGTACCTGCCTGTCGTGGCACTCCCTTAAAGCCTTTTTTTTTTTTGTATTTTCAGGGAATAGTTGCAAAGATTTATGCAGCCTGCGGCGTTTTCTTAATTTATAAAATGAGAAAAAAATTAACTTGCGTTGATAATAAATCAATTTCCTGCCTACACATTAAATTATACAGTTAATAATAAGCCAGCATTTGGCTGGAGCCCACGTTGG